GAATGCTTTAATTGAAAACATCAGTTGTTAATTTATTTTTGTAACTTTCATCATTTTTGGGGGGTGTTTTCACACATTTGCCTCTCACTTTTTCCTATCAAGGCAAAATGCTGAATGAGTGAATTGCAATATTCTGCAATACCAAATTTAGAGTTTGCATTAGTTTTATTTGGCTTCAAGTACTGCACATTGGAGAGGAGATTTTTTTCTTTGAAACTTATATACCCTAATTTTTTGTATCTGATAGTATTTAATAAAAGACTGAATGGAAAAACTGTGATTTAATGCACAGAATTCATTTAAAACTCTTAAACAGTAAGACTGACTAATCTGACTCATTCTCTGTTTTCCTCCCAGTCTTCTTTTTGACATTAGGCACAGGTGCATTGGGATTGGTCCCCTTGTAGAAATCCTTAAGAAGTTGCATTGCTTCCTCTGCTCTGACTCCCCTTACTATTTTGCAGGGGTCATCTGCCAATAACCCTGTATCCAGAACTGTGCCACATCCTCCAAAACGATCATTATGGCAGCCATACGTAATTTGTTTCAGATGTAATTTGTGCAAGGCTCCAGCACACATGATACAAGGTTCAACTGTCACAAACACTTCTGTAGCACCGAAAACAGAACTTGATTCCATATTATTTTCTTTACACCACTTAAGTACCTACAATAGGGGAATTCAATTACTGTACAATTAATACAGAGGTAAAACAGCATTCTGTGAAAATCAACTCACGTCATCAATACAGTTGATTTCAGCATGTCTTGTTGCATTGCGTGTTTCATTCACTGTGTTTCGACCAATTGCAATTATTTTGCTTTGATAAACAAAGACGCAGCCTACTGGCACCTCTCCAACTGCAAGGGCCTGCCGTGCTAGCTTCATGGCAACGTCCATGCCCTCCTCGGCATTAACCTCTTCTCCCACAACTGGAATCAATTCTTGAGGTGTGTAGGCTGAGCTTGCACTCGCACTGCCACTATCTTTACCCTCATGTTCAGATACTGAAGATGTTGGTTCCATTGCTTATCTATAAAATAAAATGTAAAATGAGATTAGGGATTAGATTCATTATTTTTAATTCAAATCATTTTATATTTAACAAACCTTAATTTTTTATTGGTGCAGCAAACAATCCAATTAAATTAAGATTTTCCAAAACCTTCAAAACTATTTCTTTCCAGTTGCTGCTACAACTTGCATTCCGAGGACTGGGATGAGGAATAGACACAACCTAATGTAGCAAAAAAATAAGTAATTACTCAAAATTTATTTTTAAAGCAAGTAACTTTTACTAATCTCATGTACCTGAATGGACTTCAAATTGGCGTCTCTTACAGCAATGTTTGCTCTCTTTTCTGCAAATTTCCCAATAGCTACCACTGTTTCAACTTGCAGCAACTGTAAGACTTTGGACAAGGCTCTATCACAAATAGCTAAAAGAGTTTTTGACTCAGAAGCCTAAAAAGTACATCAATCGCAATAGTAAAGTGAACCCATACCATTGTAATATTATTTAATTAGTAGGAAAAGTTGTAACTACCTTTAATTCTGCAGGAGTAATATTTTTCCCAGAAACTGACATAAGCGCAATTGGACACTGGTTGTATATGAAGCAGTGTTGAAAGAAAACATGTGGATTTGAACCACAAAGCTCTTGGAACAGGCCCCAAAATCTTTTACCACTTACTTCACTGCGGTGGCACTCTAATCCTGACACTAACCTGAGAATTTTAAAAAGCCCAAGGTTTAGTAATGTTGACATTTGTTTTAGGTTTACTGATACTGACAAGTATTTGCACAGATACCTTGATGGATGTTCTTTTATGGGCTTACTGACCGGGCCACTTATGGCTAACCAGTCTCTCACTACAGAAACTTCTCCAAAAGGAACCTAGAAAACATAAATAAGATTTTTTGGCAACTACTCATTTAAAATAAATCAGTATATCAGTAAAAGTGACAAAAAAAAGTTTTTGTATAAGAATAAGGGTATCGTTAGATTGATTGTTCCTCTCATGCACAAAATACTAGACAGAAATATCGAGATAATAAATTGCTCTCACCCCAGTCTGAGACATGCCCCATGGTCCTGGGTTCATTCCAAGAAAAATAACTTTCTTGGTTGTATTTGCAAATTTCCTCACAAACTGGGCATGCAGATTGAAAGCGTAGTTGATTGGGCTATACACAAATTCAACAGGGTGCGAGAATTTCAAGGCACTGAGTTGCGCACACAACTCTAATTCAATGCGAAGAAGTTCTTCTGCTAATGCAGGTTTCATGGTTGAAGTTAAATGTAAGCTGGTGGTACATGAGGATGAAGACGAACAAGTCTTGGAAGTATGATGAGGGAATGTTTCTTGAAAACCATTTTCTGTGGAACTTTTACTATGACAGTTATTGCTTTCTTGATCACTCATAATTTCCCATACACTCAAACACACACCCTTCAGGTTGCTAGCATGCAGACCAACAATTCCCCGCTATGCATTCGATTGGAGAAACAGACAACATGAAAGAAAAACAAATACCCGGTACCCATACAAAATAAACAAACTAACCCACACAACCACCTTGTGCTTTCAAGAAAACGAGTCTGAAGTCTCTACACCCGACATTTAACGTGCGTGGTTATCGAATGAGCAACCGACATTTACTGTTGAATCATGAGACTCACAACTATGGCAACGAAAGCATCGGAATCGGGGAAATACGAAGGAGAAAAGTTTGATTAACGTCGTGGGCGACCCGCGAGGGAGAAGAGCAGACAACAACGGTCGTCTGCTGGCTGCTGCACTGGACCGGAAGCCGGAAGTGTGGGGCTATGACGAATTCAACTGAACGCAATTCTATCGTGCGAATAGGGTGATGCACGGTCGGTTGCCTACATACAGGGAGTTTGCAGCGCAAATTGCCTTCCCTTCAGGCGGCCCACTACACTGCAAAAAATCTCAGGAAGATATCTGCTTGTGACAGATGATAGGTGAGGTGTGAGGTACTAGCCCCACTCCTGGTCTGGGACGGGCTCGCTAATCCCTCCCCGCACTAACCTGTCATTGGATAACAAGGAGAGTGGTTCCGCCAATAGGAGCAATAGGAGTGCTTGCGCCCACCTACGCCCACCTACCTCTATTACACCACGTGAGGGAGCACCTCTCACCTGGGCCTCCCCACCTGCCACCTCTCACCAGGGCGCGTCTAGCTACAGACGGGAAGGTAGGACGTCCCAAGATCGAAGTCTTCCAACAGGTGGGTGTAGTGGAGATATTTTTCTTGAAGCTACAGTTTGACTAAAGTCGCTAGAGAAATTCGTTTGTTTGTAGCTGGAAAAATAAAAGAGGCGAGACCTTGGAGGCCCATCTCGCACTTTCTTTACCTTTCCAGCGCCAAACGAATACATATCTTAAGCGATATTAGTTGTAAACTGTAGCTGAAACATTTCGACTATTGAAGCGAATACTTGCACTATTCCTTGCCACGGACTTCAACTTGGAGCTAAGCCGATCATCTATCCACTATATCCCAGACCATCATGTCATCTGTCTTCATCACTGGATCTAATCGTGGGATAGGATTGGAGATTGTAAAGCAGCTCCTTGCTCATGCTAGCCCTCCAGCAACCTTGTTTGCAACCTGCAGGAATCCAGACTCTGCCACTGTGAGTGAACGACCAAAACATTTACCAAGGTGGCTGATTATCTCCGGTCACTTCTGTAGTTATAGCCAGACCAGCCTAAGGTTCGTCTTTTCCTCACTCCCTTTCGCCTGCAAACTCCTATGCTGCCCGTGCTGTGAAAAGACGGACCTTAGGCTGGTCTCACTATATGCTGTAGTATATAATTTAGTATAGGTTTATAGAAATCTAATTGTTGCAGGAACTACAAGCCCTTGCGAAAAACCATTCAAATTTAAAAATTGTCAAGCTTGGTACATATTACTGATCCTTATTTTTCTATCTTGTAAATTTGAAATAATACGCAAATAGTCTACTTTATATTATTGTTTCAGATGTTCTTGACTTTGACAGCTA